GCACAAGTTGATAGATAGTTTCTCCTCTATCTTCGGAATTCCTTTCACGAAGACCTCGATATTGAGAGCGGAGAAGACTGCGTGATTGAAGACGAGGAGGCGATCCACTGTGGGAACCGGATGAAGAGGAAACAGCAAGCACGTCTAGAGGGTCGTTGATTTTTGGTAATGTGGAAGTGTCCAAAGAGCAGGTGCAGGTTTTTCTTCCCAGAAAATTGGTTAGAGTGAGATAACAAACAAATCCAGAAGAAAAGCGCTATCAGAAAGTGAAATTTTTTCATTCGTTGCGCTAATTGTGAGACTTTTTTGTTTAAACACTTTGTGGTAGATTATCGCATCCGCTTATAATAGGTGAAAGTTATCCTACAGTGAATTAGAAATGTACAACAATAAGAATAAAATATTTGTAATGTTGGTGGTTGGATTAGATGTCGGACGGTTTGAGTAGGAACTGACTCGCATCCAGCAACTAAAAAGTCACTGAAGGCGGTAAAACAAACATAAATAGATTTTTCCAACTTGGAGAGAAAAGTCCTGCAAGATGTAAAAACGCCGCCGCCCATCAAACCCGATCCTTGTTCCCGTGCCTGTGAAGCGTCACGCTTACCTTCATTCCAAACCGACACTGGTAGGCTGCCGGCGAACATGGCTTTTGTGATTTCCCCTGTTAAGCGCTCTCCGGAGACCACTTCCATAACTTCGTTCAGAGAATCGTTTGGCAGATTTTGAATGCAGATTTGAAATCAGCATCAAAAAATACGTACAGCAGTGTAGGTTTCATTTCAAATGGCCACTTCGACTTGGGATCCTTCCCTTGTCAGCTGATGCCGGCGTACATTGGCTACTCCTCGGTTCTCTTTTCTTTCTTCCACTTGTACCATCATCTGACTAATTGCCTGCCATGCGCTGTAGTGCCAACCTAACCATAGGTGGTTGTTTATTGATGCGGAAACGGTACATCTCTTCAGCTGCTACTGAGGGGTAATTTGTAGTTCCATGAAAATCAGTGGTCATATGTTGACAATGGTATTTGGGTTAAGAAATAGAGTTGATCGGAGACTTCAGCAAAGAGCATCGGGGTGTTGTTGGCTTTCCATGAGCTGGCAGCTGCTCCTTGTGGCAGAATGATTTGAAAACTTGAAAGCAGGTAACAGGTCGATTTACGAACACCGTCACTGCTTTCGAGGGTCGGACGTTTGATGTATTTCCTTTCACTAGCACGGGATCTAGAAGGTTAGGTGCACTCGCAAAGCCGAGCAGGTGTGAAAGGTATGTAAAGAACCGAGGTGCAAGGATGGCACTGAAGAAAACAAGTTTGTAACTTATGAAAGATTGGCAGTGCGATCTCAAGTATTGGTTACTTGGTTTCATGTGGGGGGCGGGGGTCGTCCTCGATGATGCGAAAATGCCCTACAAGGAGATGAACCATGTTTGGAGGATCGGCATCAACCTCAACATGCCCAGAAAATATCTGACGGACATCTTAAGCAGACTACCCTTACAATTAGATCTCTGTATGAGAACTTAAAAATAAATGTTTTTCCCTAATCAAGCATTTGAGCAGAAATGTAGCATAAATACATAAACTGGAAAAGCGTACGGCGCTTCTGAGTAGGGAAGAAGAAAATGGCACTGAAAATGAATGCCAATGAAGCCAATAAAGGTGGGGTCACTTTTAGATATGGACGGGTCATGTGAAAGTTATCAGATCATTCCTCTGCAACGTCTTATACTCTCTAGTGAATCCCGTGCAGTCGTAGGAATTGCTGTTCATTTTAATATTAGCTGTCGCCTCCGTCTATCTGCAGCGTCTTCTATCGCTGCCTTCACTTATTCATGCGTACTGGGCAGCACCCGCAGGAGTGGGGCATGGTGGTCTTGATCACGGCTCGGTAGACTCTCCGCTTAAGCTTCCAGAAGCTTCGTCAGCTCAAGCGTCAGCGTCAGGCTGCATTTCAGATTCAGTTGGAGTCAGTTTTCTGACAGCATGCCTTGCTATTTTGCAGCTTATCATAGAGTTTTTTCCACTTTCCACTGCCGAACCATGTCAAGATGGTTTTTAATAGTTCTGTGATAAAATCCACTATCGCTAGGAAAAGGAAAAGGCTCACAGCGGGTCATCGGGTAGCCACATCCAAAACGTCTACTACTTTTGTGAAGCAGTGAGTTGTATGCCTGACTTTTTTGGATCCATCAAACATACCCCGGATTAGAGAGAGCAAGCGTTGCGGAATGTTCCACTCCTGCAGTACTCTTCAAACAACCAACTTATGTAGCATAGGCGGTCAAACGATGCCTTCCACTAGAATTCCTTCAGCAGTTGCAGTGCTCAGGTACCGGGTGAGCTACAGATTAATGTGCTTGGTTGTGTTAGCGCCTTTCACTCTTTGGTTCATACAATAACCATGCTAATTGTCTTACTAAAGCCCATCATTCCTATTGCTCAACCACCATCACCTCATACTCGGTCCATGCTGCGATTGTACCATCTGTTGCTTCTTTTTGTGTTCTCTTTTTATGAAAAGATACTCTATGCAAGAACTAGTCGAAGTATTCATCCCACCATCAGCTGATCTCGGCTGGCTAGGCTACTTCGGTATGGCACCCCGCCACCGTCCATTATGACCGTCATTACTCCAAGGTCTTGATTAGCTCGATGCAAAGCCCTTGCCAGTCGAAAGGCGAACTTCTCTTCTACTTGACCATTGAGCTTCCTATTCACTCCTGTTGACGACTGTCATCTGGAGCTCGCGTCCCTTGTCCGCGCTTGTACGTTTTTTGCTGCTTTACGAATTTTTCGTTCCAGAACTTCATTGCCTTGTCTTCTTGAGTAAACCTGAGGTTTCTTCCAGCGCTTCCCATCAAAAGTGTAGAACGAGCTCCACATTGCTCCTACAACTTTGCTAGATCGGTCCCTGGGTATATAAAAGAGCGGCCTTTAGTACCCTTCTTCAGAGACTTCTCTTTTCACTTGGCACAGCTTCCACCACCGAATTCTCTGCACCATTCTAAGCCTTGCTTTCTTGGTAGGGATGAAGCCTTCATCTGCAGGAAGAGCATTGTAGCGTGGAGCCACTTCTTCATATGGCATAATCCTTATGCACTTTACAGTTTTGAGAGAGAAGAGCACATAATCGATTTCCATTTGTCCTCCTCAGTTGCCACTAATTACTTTCTAAGCACAGCTTTCACGTAGAATGTAGACTGCTGCGGACTGCAAGATCTTGAGATGTCGCCGAGTCAAGAGTCCTCTTTCCTTTGCTTCTAACTCATTATCCTCCATATCCATCAACCCTTTCTGATCCCTCCGTTCATTTTAGGCGCGTCCATTAAGACCATCCGACCATCTAGGGCGGAATGGCGCAGTGGCAAGAGGCGCATAGTATCACATAGCACATATGGATTGGGCAACGAATTTGGATCGACACCCGCCCTGGTCGACTTAAGCTTACATTTCTTAGGGCTGAATGGTGGGAAGCTTGTCTTTCATGTAGAAGAACTATTTGTAAATCAACTGACCACATCAGCATTTCATTGTAAAGGTCATATACGCGTGTACCATTTCACTACCATTCTGGGTAGATGTTGATTTCAGGGACACATTACAGAAACAAGGTTGATTAATACCAAAAGACATTATATATTATACCTTAAACTTTGATCTACTGTAATCAGTCACACATGAGAATCATCTGATGTGGAGAACGAGCTGATTTTGGTTTTTTGAAGAGGTGATCTCTAATGGTGTAAAAAAGCTCTACCGAGTTTCCTGGAATTGGCATTGTTATCCAGTCGCTCAAAGGACCTGAACCGGCTGTGGTCCTGCATGAAACGGCAACATGGAAGATCGCTGAAAACGCATTGGCTGCTTTCATAGTCCGCCGGCCGGCCAGCGAGCCGGCGTGCCGGTGGAGGCAGTGCTAGGGGGGAGGAGGTAGGCAGACAGATAGGCAAACAGTCCACGCCCCTTCAAGGGGCTGAAAACAACCTTCGAAGGGGCGTGGACTGTTTGCCTTACACTGTCTCCGCCGACACGCCGGCCGGCGGACTATGAAAGCAGCCATTCAGTTTCACCTGCACTCATAGTCTTATCCCCATCACGGGGGAACTGAATGCCCTTACTTGAACAGCTTACATTGACCTTCCCCATCCTCCACACTCGTCCACTAAGCCAAGGTGCCAGTTTTCTTTTCCTTCTCTTTTCTCTCCCGCTTACCCCTTCAAATGATCTTTCCATCTGGCTGATTATGCTCGTGTTTACTTACTTTTTCCCTCTCTGATTTTAGGTACTCATCTTAAAGTTAGTCCTACCGTTCTTCTTTCACCCTCTTCTTTCTGCTCTGATTTGTTTTTTCTCCTGCACACTCTATTTCCGTTTTCTCGTCTTACTTTTCCCATGTTATTCTCTTCCTCTTCCGGCCTCTCGCTCTTCCGGGAAAATGAAAGTGTGAAAAGACAAGTTGAGAAATGGAACCTCTGATGTAGAGAAAGGTGAAATTTGAACGAGTCAGCTGTCCAGGTGCTAAAAGACGAAGCGAATCCTACAAGAAATGTATGGCGATGAGGAATTCAGACACGGAGCGAGGGTTTCAGAAAAGGACAGTAAGAGCCCTATAGAGGGATGAATATTGTGTTAAGTATTGAGTATTGAGCAAACAAAAAAAGGTAAAACTACGTTCGTTAGTCAAGTTTGCTTCCAGAGGTAAATGGAAAAAAGCATGCTGCGAAAGTGGCGAAACCTCGAAAAAAAGAAGGAGACGACTAAGAACAATTAAGGGAGGATGAAAGAAAAGTGTATTCGGCATATAGGGTCAGGTAAAGGTGAGAAGAAAGGGATGAAGTGAGGATGGAAGGAGGTAAGATTGGGCAAGATATAGAGAGAAAGAGAGAAAGATGAGAAGATGAGAAGAGAGATAAGGAAAGAGCAGCTGGAATGTGACTGAAAAGAGAAAAAGCTGCTCATTGTAGGGAATCCTTTGTTGTCAGAAAACAAGCCCAACTTAAGAAAAGCGTGATTCCGAGATTGGAGAGGGATAGGAGATGGACTTCCTCGTGACAGAAACAGATTCACAAGCAAGTCGATCGAAGCGAAGCGATGTTTCAAGAAGAAAAAAAAACAGGGTTTTTAGGCAAGCAGTTACTTCGATAAGCATATTGTACAGAACCAGAAGTGCAATACCGTATTCCTCCAGGTTTTCAAATTTCACTTCACCGGCTTGAGGTGAAGCAGTTTTGTTGAAACATTTCCTAGAAGCCTTTTTCTCCTTGCATACAAATACCTGAAAATGGGTAGATTTCAATACAACTGCCATTCCGATAAAGGCCAAAGATGAGTTTTATAAGTTAGTCCAGGTGGACGAAAAACAAATTATAATTGATTTCTCGCTTTCTTTATATTGTACAAATTTCCCGCGATATTCTGCTAACTGCTTATTGGAGAAGACTTCACGAGTTGAGACGGAAAAAAGAAGATGCTTAGATTTTCGAGTGTACCAATCCACATGATTCGATGGCACATCACCTGTACCACCGATTCGCCCGAGCGGGGATCAGTGACGTCCCCATAAATCTTCCGATATTCGTTTGACGTCCGAATCGGTCAACGCCTTGATCCAACACAACATCGCCTGACGTGTCCGTCCTAATTACTGATCTAGCCTAAGCAGCGGCACTCTGATCGCTTTTCATTGACGGAGTTCAGAACTGTGGGTTTCCCCGTGCTTTTGCGTTTATTTCGAGCATCATCCTTTTTACAACACAGAGCCGGATATGTTTATTGATTCTTGCTATGATAGGAACTCAAAACTGCAATTCATCTATCTTCCGTAGATCATCTATACATAGAATCCTATTTAGTATGACTCCTGTGAAAAGTTTATAAATTACATACCAGTCGGCTCGCCCGACCGACTTCGGGCTCCCCTCTTCCCGTGTTGAAATGGTCTCCCCGCTTGCACCACCCATCAAATTTGAGCGCTCTTGGTCCACGGGAACAGGAGCTATGAATATCACTACCACTATCACTATCAATATCACTATCCTGAATATCACTAAAACCACAATCACTGGCCNCCTGCCGCCCAGCATAAGTGTTCCCATCGTGCCGCCTGCACTCCTACCAAATTTGAACGCTCTAGTTCCACTGGAACAGGATTTATGAGTTTCCGCTCAAACCCCGTCCCCTGTGGGCGGAATCCGGTCCTGCCACCCACCATAAGTGTTCCCATTCTATCGCCTGTACACCTACCAAGCTTGAACTTTCTAGGACAGGAGCTATGATTTTCCAAAACGTTCTCATGAAGCATTGCATTTTTTGAGAACGCCCCGTCTATCAGAGCTGGGTCTCCCCACTTGGATCCAACTTACCATTGCACACCTCTAGCCACCTCTAAACCCCACGTTTAAAGCCGTCATGCGACTAAATTTGAAATCATGGTCCTCAGTATAGCTCATTTCGATGCACGCCATTCCCACTATGGGCGCCGCCAAGCTGATGTGTGCTTTTTACTTCTCGGGACATGGCCTAACCGTTCCACGCTTTACCCTGTCTCTCCAGGCAGACCTAAAGGAGCTAAAGAATTCCGTGACGGACATACGACAGACAGACAGAGAGAACGACAGACAGAACGACAGACAGACAGACGAAGCGCTTTATAGTAAGTAGGATAACAGGCAGGATAGGTGATAGTAGCCATGATCATATGGCTTTTCTTCTTATACAGCAACACAGTCTCACTATTTTCTACAACGCAAACATTTTGCTTTCTGACAAGTGGCGCGTGGGGAGCCGAGACAGGTTTTTGTTGATGACTGACAGATGGTCCATGGTTCTTGTGATGTTCTGGTTCGATCCTATCGAACCCATCAATGATATATGAAGCACTCTGAGAAATCTTCTACTGCCACGAAACATCCTGAGATGATTTCCTGATTCCGAATCCTTCCCTAGTTTTTTGTTTTTTTTGCCACACAATCGATGGCTCATTTTTTCTTTGCTATTATGTACCAATTTCCCTTACAAAATCCCCTTTTGGAGTGTTTGGGAATTTCTTTCTCGATGAAAAATTTACGTGTGAGCGCAGCCCTGTGAAGAAAGCGAACGATTGTTGCGCTGCTATTTCAAGCTAGTCACTCGCCTCGGTGCTGGCGCCTTCTCTTCGCTCGTCCGAAGAAATCCACACCACTCCAATCCGAAACAATCACTATCTTTCCTACTTCTACAAAGTTAGGAATGCGTGGCAATGATGCTGCTGCATGCATGACCTCTTGCCGTGGGCTTATGCCGCATAAATTTATGAGCCCTCTTTTTGACCATTCAGGAAGCTATATGACTGGTTATGTACAGTAATTCTAGATGAAAAGTGGAGCTTGACATAAAGTGGAGAGTAGTGGTTCACCTGACATCCTTGATTTTCACCATACTTCCTCATTACTTCTTTAGGGATGGGGACGAATGTTATGGTAGTTGTAAGGCCCTCGTTCGTGAACTTCACGTTTGTTGGTGCCACCTCCGGTGCTAAATAGTTTGAAAGTTCGCGAAAAGTAATGTTCCGAAAATTAGTTGAAGGTTAGCATCGTAGGAATGCTTTGAAAATAGCGCCACTCCATGCTCGACTACTTTATTCTAATCAGATCCTGGTGAAAGCCGCACAAGCATTGCTTTGTTTGGGCCTGTCTTAGTATTCTTTTCTATGAATATATTCGTACACGTTACACTCTGAGTTTGACAAAAGATACAATTAAGAATAAAAGATGGAGGTACTCTACGAAAACTATAGCGCATCCTTGCTTGTCCAAATCAAATTTGTATCTGAGTCCATATCTGAGGCTTCCGTACCGACACCTGCCTTAGATAACCATGCCTTTCACCTCTCGGTAATCAGTTGAATGGTACCAGCTTCTCCCTGCGAATAAAAGCTCCGGTCGTACATTGACCCGGCACCGCAATTCATTTCATAGACCTTGCCGGGTGGACCCCAANCATCCTTGCTTGTCCAAATCAAATTTGTATCTGAGTCCATATCTGAGGCTTCCGTACCGACACCTGCCTTAGATAACCATGCCTTTTTACCTTTCGGTAATCAGTTGAATGGCACCAGCTTCTCCCTGCGAATAAAAGCTCCGGTCGTACATTGACCCGGCACCGCAATTCATTTCATAGACCTTGCCGGGTGGACCCCAAAAATAGCATTGCTACACGCCAAAGACAATCTTCACATTTTTTATCGTGGTTTGATTCGCGTGTTTCTTTCTGTGTCCTGCAAAGTTATCAAAAAAAGGAGCTGCCTCTGCTGTGTGACAGAAACTGCTCTTAGGACTCGGATGACTCACGAGATTAACGAATGTCACAACGCTGGGAGACATCTCCGGAATTTTTCATAATTACGATTTATGAAATTTGGGACTTTGAGAAATGCCTCCAGTACCCATAAGTTTACATTATACATTACCCCCAAACCTACAAAGAATTGTCTGCCTTTTCCGACTTTCGAGCTCAAGTGTTATATGTACTTCAACCTTATTGTCGTTACTGTTTAGTGATTCAGTTTTTTTGTTATACTTTTAGCGTTATACAAAATTCAATATCGTATTTCTAATCTTTTCCCCTCTCCCAATCCCGTTATTCTTAACTTCTGTGCTCGTAGGAGGAACTATTTCAACGTTCCGCCAACTTCATCTACTCGTCGTCCCTTCATTGACAGTGTTTTCCCTTTTTGCTAGCATTAATTGAAGGCACAATTCACTAAACCATAAAAATGGTTTCCGAGATTGCTCCTTACGATGAACCTGCGACTATTGAGGAAAGCCCAAGGGACGCTGTCGGGTCGAATAATGACCCGTAATGCGGGCTCATAAAGTTGAAGAATTACCGTATACCCCTGTTCATGTGCCCCTTCCATGTCGCCACATTATTCCAACTCCTTAATTGACTATTTTTTGAAGCCTTTTCCATATTTCCGTGAATAAGCCGAACTCGATGTTTTCATTGTTTGAGCACTATTTCAGAATACCACTTCTATTATTCGTCCAAATCTAGATACCCCGGATCACCATGAATTGTGGAATTGTGCCATTCAAGTCTCTATCACGACCAACTGCTGGTTTCCAGTAACCTTTGGTAAGGAAGCTAGCCGAAATAGGGATGGAAGGGCGGAGAAGATGAGAAAAAAGTATTGGCTGTTGAGCTGTTGGTTGAGCTGTTGTGATGATAGACAGATAGATAATAGACATCATGAGATACTGTACCGTCACATTTGATTTTATGCCCGTCCGGAATGAATGGAAGAACGTTATCACGGGGGCCCTGATACACATACACACAGACACATTCAACTAAATATTCTGAATGAAGTGGTACCACATTTTCTACTTGCTTTCAATCTGTCACTAATCAGAGATAGTCCGCATGGACAGCGGTTAGCAGCTCCCTAATTATTTGAAGTGAAGTACAAATCGAGTAGTCAAAGTGATTTCTTGAGATAATGATCATTTCGAGAGCTCCGATGCATTACATAGCTACATCGCTGCTTCATGTGATATAATAGTCAAAACAACTCACATTTGGCTTTCAACTTTACTCGATACTTAGCTACAGGTCCTTCGTAGGAGTCCAGTATCGCCTGTGCGAATAAATCGCATTTGTACGGCCGACGTTTAATAGCAACCACCTGTAGATGACATATTCTCGATAAGGTCTTGAAAAAGACGTATGGACTCACAATAGAGTTCTGCTTAACCATTTTTTCCTCCTTATAGTCTTTCCCACACTCGAACCTGGAATAAAGACAAATAATTTTTTAGTTACTTTCCTGTATCATGTATCTCAGCATTTGAGTAGTTCTCGAAAAACGCACGAGCTCCAATGTTTTGCATTTCAGCATGGAAATATAAAAAAAAAATCATGGAGAATGCTCCACAGGAGCATGTCTGAGATAGGCTGGATTCTGACGTTTTATCATAAAAAGTTAGGATTAAATCTTGAAGTGCCGTAAAAGATTAATTAATTTGTCAAGACGGTATCGCATAAACCAGCGAGTTACAATGGTGGCGAGAATGGGGTTCACCATCGTGACGGCGCGAACTCTGAACGCAGACGATTCCGTAGTGACGAGGTCTCGTACACATATATGTTAAATGCAGAGTTCATAATAAAAATGGTTTCTGAGTTCCTCTCCCCTCTTCTCTCTCTCTCCCCCCCTCCCCAGGAACACTCAGTGATACCATTGGTAAAAGGAAAGTCGCTTTCGTGTCCAAAAACTACTTAGAGGCTAGGACGTAGAAGGTACCGGGTCGCCCGGATGCCACGCCAATCGACCGGTGATGTGTCAAACGAAAGTCAAGGTGATACAGATTACAGTATTCGTGCCATGACCCACACGCACGCAATAACACACATTGCATAGGTTATCCAACACCCCTTCTTCTTCTTCATTTTTCTGGTCTAATTCTCTTCCAGCCCCCTTTTGAGCTACTTTTTCCGAGGTCCTTTATTACTTTGGGAACACCGACTCGCGCACCTCATTCGCCTTCATCGCACTATTTCCCGTCTTCCCTCTATTTTTGGTCATAATCTGGATTACCCAAAATTATGGTGAACTGTGCCTTTAAGGTAGTGATAAAACGCGTGATGTTTCATATTTACCAGTCGGGCCGCCCGACTAATGCTGGGCTTCCCTCCTTCTTATGGTGTCGCCCGGCTCCCTCGGGCGCTTTTACTTCCTGTAAGAAATTTGCTACGCGTAAATAACACTTCGAATTCTCCTTTTTCTTTGAAAGCCCTATACCCTCAGAATTAGCTCCGATTTGGGAGCGATTTTCTGTATTATAATTAATTCTATAATAATTAGAAGTCTCGATTCATTGCTCTTCATCCCGAAATTGTGTCACATTGATGGCTTAACTGATTGGCAAAGAATGCCCTAAATGGTACCCAGAAATGGATAATAACGCCTATCTCAAACGTCGTTATCAATAAAACATTTTCCCCACGGATTTTTCATTAATTGGGAATCCCGAATCATTAGTGGTCTGATCAGTTTATTCACAAATGATATGTCACAAAACAAAAAGGAATCGTGGTACTTCATTGTTTCACAAAGCTTACTGCGTAACGGTCGTAGTTTAATAGCAAAAAATGAACAAAATTCTGAT